GGGAAAGAGAGCCAGGAATGCTCAGGTTTGGGACTTGAACATTTAGAAAGATGGAGTTGTTCTCTACTGAGTTGGAGAAGACCGCATTAGGACCAGTTGTGGAAAGGCTGACAAACCTCAACTTTAGGCATCAAAAGTTCGAGATGCACCTAAGCCCACGGGTATGTAAATCTTAGAGGGTTGTGGCTAGAGATAGACATTAGGCAGTTGTCAGAATACACATGGTATTCAAAGTCATGAGACTGGATGAGATTACCATAGGACCGTTACGTATCGATGGAAAACAGTTTTCTAGGGCTGAGTCCTGGCACACTTCAACGTATACACAAGAAATGATGGCATGTAAGGTATAAAAAGAAAGGGGTTAGAGGTGACTTAGCTACTTTGAGTTAGGAGTGACTTTGTAAAAATTTTATCAATGATGCTAAAAGTAAAGTGATACAGTTAGTCTTGACAAGTAGGTTTTTAGGTGCTGACAAGATAATCAGTTATAAATCCTTAATAGGCAACTGGATCTAGAGATGTGGCTCTCAAGAATGAATTAGTAACTAGAGCTATAACTTGGGATTCCTTTCCACAGGAGAGATGTTTAGAATCATGAGTAGAGTTAAAGAAATGAGAAGTCTAGCCAACCATACCTAAGGAACGTCTACATTGTAGGGTATGAGAGAAGGAAGAGGACTGGTAAAGAATGTTACAAAAGGTCGAAGAAGAACCAAGGTAGTGCCATGTTGCTGCTGAAGAAGCGTCTGTACAATGGCAACTGGAGCACGAGACAAAGAAGATGAAGCCTAAGAAAAAGTCAAGGTGGCAGAAGACAGTTGATAAAACTGAGTCTCAGAGAAGCTACATGACTAATAACAGATAAAAGAGTCATAGTAGAATAAGAATTTGAATCTGGTTCTATTATATTTGTTTATATAGCATATGTTCATATTATATACATAATTATAACAAGGGTTTAACCAAAGCAATCTCATTCAAGTAATTATTCTACCACAAATATAGGAATGATCCAATTCTCTTCTTTTTTTTTTTAAGAGAGATTTTTGCTCTAGGACACATGCACTCACTGGAGAGACACAGAGACAGAAAAAAAAATCACCTCCCTGGGAGTGATGGCCAAGCTGCAATCTCTTCTCCATTCTCCTCTTGGGATTTTGGGTATGCACGCACATGTGCCCGGCATGTTTCTGGGACGCTAACTGCGGTCAACTACATTGGAGTCCAGTGATGCAACCATCTACTGGTCCTTTTTATTTTGGCCAGAGGGCACCTGAGCTCACTGGAAAGAAACTAAGAAGGAAAGGGACAGAGCAGCCTCATGAGGCATGATCATGCAGAAATTCCTTCTCCCCCATGTCTACTTCCTTTCAGCATTTGGGGATTTGGGGCATTCACGTACACACACTCAGTGTGTTTTTGTTTTTCAAGCTGCTGGGACTTGAACTATGCAGTCGGCTATGTAGGTTCCGGCTGCCTTATCCACCACACCAAGAGCTACTCTGCCTGCCTGCCTGCCTTCCTGCCTGCCTGCCTTTCTTAATTTCTTTCTTTCCTTCTTTCTTTTTCTTTCTATCTGTGTATCTGTCTATTTAAATTTTGCCAGAGAGCACATATGCTCACTAGAGAGACAGTGAGAGGGAAAGTGAGAACAAATTATTATAAAATAAAATTTGTTTATAATATTGAAACATAATTAAATATTTACCAAACAGTGATACAACCATCCGTTCTCCATTTTAGGTTATAGAATGTGCATCTGTCACTTACCTTGTCTCCCAGTGAAACCAAACATTATTGGAGAACAGGTAAGCACATAATTGAGTTTTTATTTTTAACTTTAGTTTTTAAACAAAGTGTAATTTTTACTTGCTTTAAAACTAAAACTATCTTTATGTGCTTGTTCAGCAGTGTGTTTTCATTTAAAATTTTGTATCTGAGTCCTTTCAGACTAGAAAAGGAAAAATAAAAAATGTATGAGTAAAAGGATTGCTTTATTGAACTTCTCACAGTTTTTAATTTCAGCCAGATAAATGGCTTTCTTATGTTCAAAATAAGAACTAACTCATGGGAACCAGCAGTTAGTGTAATGGCTATGTCACTGGACTCCCATGTAGTCGACCAGTTTGCATCCCGGACCTGGTGGCTTAAAAAACTCACACCAGGCGCGTGTGTGTGTGTGCCCAAGATCCTAAGAGGAGAATGGAGGAGAAGGGATTGCGGCATGACCATCCCCCCTGGGGGGTGATTTCTTGCTTTCTGTCTCTATGTCTCTCTCTGTCTGTCTGGCGAGCACACGTGCCCTATAGCAAAAAAAAAACCTCTCCAAAAAAAAGAAAAAAAAAAGAAAAAGAACTAACTCATTCACTAATTTTGGAATGGAGAGTTTAAATAAAAGTAACCATGAGGACCAGCAGATGGCATAATGGCTACGTTTCTGGGCTCCCGTGTAGTCAGACGTGGTTTGAGTTCCAGACCCGGTGGCTTAAACTCATACCAGGCTTATGTGTGCACGTGTGCCCAAGATCCCAAGAGGAGAATGGAGAAGGGATTGCAGCATGGCCATCCTCTCTGGGGGGTGATTTCTTGCTTTCTGTCTCTCTGTCTCTCTCTATCTTTCTGACTAGTGCATATGCCCTACAGCAAAACCTCTCCAAAAAAAAAAAAAAAAAACTAAGAAGAGTACCTATTTTATTTTTTGGTATAGAGTGTGTGTATGCACCAGAGAGAGACAGAGACAGAGAGAAAGTGAGAAAGCACCCCACCATAGGGAAGGCCATGCCATAATCTCTTCTCCTTGATCTTCCTCTTAGGATTTTGGGTTCACACACATGCACCCAACATGTTTTGCCAAACCTCCAGGTATGGAACTCAAACTGCACAGTCAGCCATGTAGAAACCAGTCACCCTAACCACCACTCCATTCACTGGCCCAAGAGTAATTTTTTTCTTTTAAAATAAATTTTGATCATGAAACAGAACCTTCCATTTCTGTAGCTTAGTAAATATCTTAGTATATTTTGATTTCATATTTACTATCTTTATGTTCTTCCTTTTATTAGATTTAATTTCACTGAATCAAGAAACTTTCTGGGCACCAGTAAGTGGCATGGTGGTTAAGGCATTGGACATTCCCATGTGGCCAACCATGGTTTGAGTTCCAGACCTTGAACCCAGTGGCTTGCTTTCTCACTTTCTCTCTTTCTCTCTGTCTCTCTCTCTGGTCAAATCAAAATAAAATGAATGAATAAATAAAATTAAATAAATAATTGTTTTTTAAAAAAAAGAAATAAAAGAAAAGAAACTTTCCGTAAGCTTAAAAACGTTTTGAAAATATATGTGTTTATTTTTAGGATAGATCTGACCTTAGGGGAATACAAACTATGAACTATAACACTTTATAGTGATGTTATCCTGAATGCATATTAGCTGAATTGAGTCTTCATGATTAATTTTCCTTTGATCATGAAAAACAGTAGTAGTCTGAAAGGAGAATGGAGAAGGGATTGTGGCGTGGCCATCACCCCAGGGGTTGATTTCTCGCTTTCTGTCTCTCTGTCTCTCTCTGTCTTTTTGGTGAGTGCACACGCCCTATAGCAAAGAAAGAAGGAAAGAAGTAAACAGTAGTCAATACAGTTTGATATGATAATATGATAATCACAGGACTATTTAAACAAACCCTGTGTAATGTTCATAACTATTCTCCTCTTGCCATAAGTTCTAAAGTAAACAGGAGATAGCACTAAGGATAAAAGGCATCAAAACAAGGGAAGAGCCATTGGCATAGTCTTTTTCTTAGTTAAATGAAAACTTATGAAGTGAGAAATTTTTACTTGCAAAAAATATGGTTTTCATTACATCCCTAACATTCAATGGGGTGCTGAAGTTGTCTTGGATTTCAGAACCTACACACTGGTTAAATATGGCCATCACTAGAAGTTAAATTATATAAATGTAAAAGTACGTAAGTTACATTTAAAAAACAAAGATACTAAATATTCAAAACTCATCACCGCTATATATTTCACTGCATTCTGTTGTCCGTGTACATACAGTGAGTAACACCTATGACGTCTGCATGGTGACAGTCCTCTACAATGGTGTGAAATGCACATCTTTTCCCAACTTCATACTCAGTGATGTCACATTTGTGGCTTGAAATCTATCACAGCTATAGCTTGAAATTAGTATTTATATTTATTATATTATGTATTACATTTATATCGAGTATATCATAGAAATCTACAAATACTAAAAAATTAGGCTTTATTTTTTCGGAGAGTCAGTCATTAAGAATTTACTAGCACACCAGTCCTAACAGTACACTATTTGTAAGTGCAGCTGGAAGAAAATATGTTATAGATCGAATGAAGCATATGTAAATATGGATAAGGAAGGTAAGATTCTTTCAAAGTAACTGGTAAAATTAATACTCTATATCTTGAAACCCAAGACACACTAAAATATTTAAATCTTCAACCTTGAACTCTATTTCATTGTCTTAGTAACTTACTTAAATGAAATTTTCTGTTTGCCAGATATCCAGTAAAATGGGCGCCCATTATCATTGTATTATTTGTTCAGCAACAATCACCAGAAGGACTGATATGCTAGGACATGTTAGGCGCCATGTGAATAAAGGAGAGACCAAATCCAGGTATATTGCTGGTAAGTTGAGCAATCTCATTAACATATTAATAAGTAAATTCTCTTTTTTTTTTTTTAAACATTTTCCAGGACTCGAACCATAGTGGTTGCCATGTGGGAATCCAGCACCTCAACCTTCACACCACCTGCTGGCGCAGTAAATTCTTAAATAATGGTCCAGTTATTGTTTCATTTTTTTTCCTGTTTGGTTTTCAGTAATAGTCAACTATTCTCAACAGATATCTTTAATAAGTAATGTAGAAAAGTGATGCTCAAATAAATATTGAAAGATTATAGAATTATATTTATAATGACAGCTATCATACCAATTACTGTGTTATACTTATTGAAAAACACTGGGGGACCAGTAGGTGATATGGTGGTGAAGGTGCTGGACCCCCACATGGTCGACCACAATCCAAGTTCCAGACCTGGTGGCTTGCTTTCTCACTTTCTCTCTCTCTCATTGTCTCTCTGGTTAAATTTAAAAAAAAAATAATAAAATGAATTCTTTAAAAAAAAAAAGAAAGAAAAGAAAAACACTGGGAAAAGATATAGAGTAAAATAAAGACAATTATTTATCTTTACTGATAACAATTCACTGATAGTTTGTTACTATTTAGGGAGCTTTGTTTTTTTAATTTTTTTTATTTTTTGAGAGGTTTTTTGCTATAGGGTGCATGAATGGGCCAGAGAGACAGAGACAAAGGGACAGAACATGAAAAATCAACCCCCGGGGAGGGATGACCACACCACAATCCCTTCTCCTCTATTCTCCTTCCGGGATCTTGGGCACAGATGCACACACGCCCGGCATGAGTTTAAGACACTGGTTCTGGGACTCGAACTGTGGTCAGCTACATGGGAGTCCAGCAACATAGCCATTAAGCCAACTGCTGGTCCCTAGGGAGCCCTTCTTAAGAATTCAATTGAGCGCTAATGGCCTAAAGCATCCATTGTGTTTAGTGATTAATTTCTCACCTATACATCTAGAATGGTACTATGTATCATTCTTTTAAGAATTAAAAAAGTTGTGGGAACAGCAGTTAGCACAATGGCCATGTCGCTGGACTCCCACATAGTTGACTACAGTTCAAATCCCAGACCCAGTGGCTTAAACCCACACCAGTGCATGTGTGTGGAGGAGAAGGGATTGTGGTGTGGCCATCCCCCCGGGGGCTGATTTCTTATTTTCTGTCTCTCTCTGTCTCTCTCTGTCTTTCTGGCAAGTGAGAGGTGTTTTTGCTATAGGGCACGTACGCTCGCCAGACAGACAGAGAGAGACAGAGACAGAAAGCGAGAAATCACCCCCCAGGGGGGATGGCCATGCTGCAATCCCTTCTCCTCCATTCTCCTCTCAGGATCTTGGGCACATACGCCCAGCATGAGTTTAAGCCACCGGGTCCATGACTCGAACCGCTGTCGACTACATGGGAGTCCAGTGACATACCCATTACGCTAACTGCTGGTCCCAGCTCAAATATTTTTTTTAAAGCTTAATTTTCTCACAGATTCTGATTAGAGAAAGGCTGATATTGTGAGATATGTGAAATGAGTGGATATAGGAGTACATGCAACACAATACTAAACATGACCATCAATATTTTATGACTTTGTATTAATAGGTAATTATACTTTTTTCAGAGAGACAGAGACCGAAAGTGAGAAATCACTCCCCGGGGGGATGGCCACGCTGCAATCCCTTCTCCTCCATTCTCCTCTCGGGATCTTGGGCATGCACACACATGCGCCCTGTGTGAGTTTAAGCCACCACACCATGTCCGGGACTCGTACTGCGGTTAACTACACGGGAGTCCAGCGACATAGCCATTACGCCAACTGCTGGTCCCTAATAGGTAATTATTCTAATGGAGAGTAAATGTAGAGTCTTTAATTGCTTTATAGATATTTGAATGTAATTTTTTATTTAAAAACATAATTATGAGAAAGTGTTCTACAGTACAGCACCTTCAGGAAATAGTGATTCTTAGCTGTACTGACTAATGAAATGAAGCCATAGAATGATACTCATTTTCTGATGATTATACCACGATAAAATAAATTTAGTGGCCAGCCTGAACAAATACATTATATTATAGTGCTTGATGGATCTTAGAGGTAGTTTAGGATTTTGTGCTGTCTTATCGAGTGACGGTTCTTTGCTATCATAATAGAAGTATATCTTGACTAGGCAGTCAAGATTTTTTTTATTAAGAGTTATTTTATTTAGCTTTATTTCTTTATTTATCTATTTAAATCTGACCAGAGAGAGAAAGAAAAAGTGAGAAAGCCACTAGGTCCGGGACCCAAACCACAGTTGGTCATGTGGAAATTGAGTACCCTTAACCACCACACCACCTGCCAGCCCCCAGTCAAGATTTTAATAAACTTTCTATTTCTTTTTTAAATAATTATTGATTTAATTAATTTATTATTATTATTATTTAAATTTTGCTATAGGGCACATATACTCACCAGAGAGAGAGAGAGAGAAGTGGAAAATGAGAAAGCAAGCCACCAAGTCTGGGACTCAAACTTGGTCAGCCAAACCACGATGCCACCTGCTGGCCTGTTAATAATCTTTTCTTTACCAAATACTTAATATTACTCTTCCAAAAAGTGATAAATGTTTGTTTTTGTCTTTACATCTACTCGATTGTTTGTACTAACACAGAGTAATATAAAGTCCTTTTTCAGAATGTATTTTGTTTTAGATGGTTGGAATTATTCTGTGTTTCACTAGAAGTTTTTTTCTTTTTCATCCTATTTTAGCTTCTACTACTAAACCAGCTAATGAAATTTTGAAAGAGGCAGACACGGATGTACAAGTTTGTCCTAACTATTCTATACCTCAAAAAACAGATTCATATTTTAATCCCAAAATGAAACTAAATCGGTAAGATATATTGAAAATAGAATTATTATGTGGTATTTTAAATAATTACAAATGTACCATCTCTTAACCTTTATATTCTTTTTTTTTTTGAGAGAGAGAGAGATCTTTGCTATAGGATGCAAGTGCTCACCAGAGAGAAGAAGAAAGACAAACAGAAAGTTAGAAATCACTCTCCAAGGGGGATGGCCATACTGCAATCCCTTCTCCTTCATTCTCCTCCTGGGACCTTGAGCATGCATGCACACGTGTCTGGAGATATTTGTTTTTTGTTAAGCCATAGGTCCAAAACTCGAACCATGTTTAACTACATGGGAGTCCAGTGACATAACCATTATGCCATCTGTTGGTCCCATTAACCTTTATGTTCTAATTTATTAAAATTTAAAACTAGGTGCAGAGTGAAAATAATGTTTTCACATTTCTTGGAATGATTGTTTCCTTTTTGCTACCAAGCCAATTTCTGTTTTTAGTTCTAGATAGTTTATCTGTTTAAAAAAACTGTAATTTTATATAGTTACTGAACAGGCTATGACATTTGTGGCCAAATTTTATTTATAAATAAATAATTAAATAGGTACTTGTTAATAGAACCCAATTTAGATTCATAATTTTAATTTCATGGACTTTTAACTTGTTCCATTAAACTGGGAACAATTCGTACAGTAACTAGCACTCTCCATTCTCACTATTCTTAAGTGAACTCTACAATGATGAAGCCATGGTACAGGCAAGTTACTTTAGATTATTACTTCCTTCTAGGCAGCTAATATTCTGCACATTGGCTGCTTTAGCTGAGGAACGAAAACCTTTGGAATGTCTAGATGCCTTTGGAGCCACTGGTAAGTAAAGAAATTTTTTTGGAATCTCATTTTATTTACCAGATTTGTAGAGTATCTTTCCTTAAAATTTTTGTATGGATATCATATCTAGCAATTTCTTTTTAAAGACAGGGTCTTGCTATGTTGCAGTCCTCCTGCCTCAGCCTCCTGAGCTGCTGGGACTACTGGCGCGCCCACTACACCCAGCTCCTTCAGACAAGGTCTTGCTATGTTGCCCACACTGGCTGGGAGCTCATGATCCTGCTCCAGCCTCTTGAGTAGCTGGAACTGCAGGCACACACTACAGCGTTTATGACTTTTAGGGTGGGCCAGGACTCAACCCAGGCCTCCCATGTGGATTCAGCCTGTCCAGTAGCAGTGTCTATCAGAATATTCTACCGTGACTGGGCCTCTGGCAAGAAAAAAAAAAGTTACATTTATTTATTTTGTTTATAGGAGATATAGAGAGAAAGGTACAGAGAGACACACCAGGTGGGTCCCCATGCCACAATCCATCCCCAGCCTCAGCTAGCCCAGATCATAGGCATGCACACATGCGCCCAGAGTACTCAGGGAGATTCCCAGACACAAACACAGGACCTTTCCCACATGGGAACCACTGTGCTACCACTGCCGCTCCCTGGGTCTAGCAAAATATTTTGATGTAAAAAAAAATTAAAGGTCCAAAGTAATATTTTAAAATGTTTTTATTATGAAATATTTTAAATATATATCAAAGTAAATAGCATATAAATTAATCTCTTTGTATCCATCACTCACTTCAAAAATTGTCAGCTTGGGCCAGCCCATGGCCTGGTGGTTACATGAGCTGCATCCCACATGGCTATGTGTTTTTAATTCAGACCCAGAACCTTGAAGCCTTGAAAAACAAAGCAGGGGCAGGTGCACGCATGCCCAGAATCCCAAAAGGAGGGAGCAGTGGAGAAGCGATTATGGCGTGGCCATTCCCTATGTACATGCTTACCCTCTCAGCAAGCACACACACCCTCTATCAAATTTTAAAAAAAATTATCAACTTATGCTTAGTCTTAATTTGTCTATGCCCCCATACCTCATACCCGATTCCTTCATTCCCTATTTTTTTCTTTGACTTTTAATTTATTTTTCATTTCATCCTTCATTCCCTATTAATTTGAAATAAATCACAGATGTATTATTTCACCTGTAAATACTTCAGTTGGATCTCTAAAAAAGGGAATAATTCTTCAGTATCAATTCTTTAGATATGCCAAATTATCTCATAGAATTTTTTTTTAAATTCAAATCAGAAACCAAACAAAGACCAGGCATTATGGTTGTTTAATGTGTCTCTTAAGTCTCTCTTTAATCTACATACTCTTCTATCATTGTGTCTGTGTATGTGCATGGTAAACTTATTGACATAATAGATCTCTTGAAGTATAGTTCCCCGTAGTCTAGATTTTTGCTGACTGTATTGCCGAGGCTCACGTAACACATTTCTCTGGTTCCTGTATTTTTGTAAATAGGTAGTTTGATCAAGTTCAGACAGGAATTTTTTTCCCCAAAAAATACTCGTTTACTGCAATTAGGAATACAAACACCTGATGTCTGTCTGTATTTTTTTGTGTTGTGATGATCCTTGTCTAGCCTTTAAGACAATGGGGTAAAGTGAAATATTAAAGGTTGAGAACATTTTTTTTCATTTTTGTGAGCAGTAGAAAAAAGACCATGGGAAGAGTAGGAAATTTCTAAAATGTTACTTGAACCTCATTCAGGTCATTCTTCATAAAGGTTATGGGAGTATCCTCTTGGGAAGCTTGGACTAAAAGGGTAACCGTGTGAGGTAGCTCTCCTCCCTGGCCCTTGCTCCTCCAGGAAAAGCAATGGTTAGAGCATGGGCTGTGGAGCCAGAGTGCCTGGGTTCAGATCTCAGTCTCACGTTAGTTGTATGACCTGAGAATCCTGCCTCAATTCGCTCACCTATAAAAGGGTTGGTGGGAGTACGGTCCCAGTACCCACATTACAAGAATCTGAGGATTTAAGTAAAGATATACATGTAAAGTAATTAGAACGGTGCCTAGTAACTAGCAAATGTTTTAGGCAGCATCATTAATGTATTACAACTGTTACTTTGCTCACCATCATCATCAGTGATGTCTCAGTTCCAAGTATAGTCAAAATGATGAAGTGATGCTTTAGTCCATTATTTCTTCCCAGCCACTTGGATTTCAAATTTGAGGGTTTTTTTACACTTTCTGTGCACTGTCCCCACATTGACTCAGCACCACATCTGTTCTGAGTTTCCTTTTGCAATAAAACTCACACTTCCTTTTCTTTTCTTTTTTTGAATTTTGTCAAAGGGCACATGACAGGGACAAAGTGACAAAGCACCCTCCCATAGGCTGACCCTTTTTCTTTCCGTATCTACCAGTTTAAAGATTTGATGACAACCTATTGTCTCTAATTGGTACCCTCACTTCCAGTCATCCCGTCCCCCCATTCTATCCCACACGCTACCGTGAAACAGCCTTCCCTCTGAAGCCCCACACTGATGATGTGACTTCTCAGTCAGAAAAGTCATGCATCTTTGTTGCCTAGAGCCCAAACTTGTGAGACTTAATGACCTTCATAATCTGATCCCAGCCTGCTCTTCTAAGTGTATTTCAGTGTTTTCCATCATACACATTTTTTCTTTACTCTGTTTAATCTCAAATAATAAAGCTAATGTCTAAGGAAGACCTTTTTAGTCTTTTTTTTTTTTTAACATTTTTTGCCATAAGGTATGTGCACTCGCCAGAGAGAGAGAAGTGATCCCCTAGGGGATGGCCATGCCACAATCCCTTCTCCTCCAGTCTCCTCTCAGAATTGTAGGCATGTATGCACACGTGCATGGCATGAATTTCAAGCTGCTGGGTCCAGGACTTGTACTGCTGTCAGCCATGTGGGAGTCCAGCTCCTTAACCACTACAGCACCTTCTGGCCCTTAGCCTTTTCTTTAAGAATTATTTATTTAACTTATTTATTATTTTTATTTTGAATTTACTATAGAGCACATGTACTCACCGGACAGTGACACAGAGAGAAAGTGAGAAAACAAGCTACCAGGTCTAGGACTCAAACCGTGACTGGCCATGTGGCAGTCCAGATTCCACCATGCCACCTTCTGGCCCCTAGCCTTATCTTTTTAATGTGCTTTTGTATACATATGTGTGTGGTGGCGGGGAGAGAAGTTCATGGGAAATATATATTAGGAAAGAACTATGCATAGAGTTCAAAATATTTTTGTACCAAAATAAAACTATACTTCAGATTTTTCTAAAAACTTCTTGAGGTACCATTGATTCAGGTTGTTTGCATTCATTCTGTATCTTTTGCCATCCCTAAAATAAAGATGTTAGATCTTATCGTGAACTTGTATGAAAATATGAAAAAAAATATGTAAAACCCCTAATACACAGTAGATGTTAATGTTCCCATTATGAGACACATCTATGGAGAAGGTGACTGATACTTCTAAAGCAGCAGTCCTCAACTTTTGTGGCACCAGGAACCAATTTCATGGTAGACAGTTTTTTCCACAGACAAGGGGTGAGGGATAGAGAGTGTAGGGGAGGGAGGGTGGGAAATGGTTTCAAGATGCTTCAAACACATTTATTGTGCACTTCTATTATTGAAACAGCCTTCCCTCTGAAGCCCCACACTGATGATGTGACTTCTCAGTCAGAAAAGTCATGCATCTTTGTTGCCTAGAGCCCAAACTTGTGAGACTTAATGACCTTCATAATCTGATCCCAGCCTGCTCTTCTAAGTGTATTTCAGTGTTTTCCATCATACACATTTTTTCTTTACTCTGTTTAATCTCAAATAATAAAGCTAATGTCTAAGGAAGACCTTTTTAGTCTTTTTTTTTTTTAACATTTTTTGCCATAAGGTATGTGCACTCGCCAGAGAGAGAGAAGTGATCCCCTAGGGGATGGCCATGCCACAATCCCTTCTCCTCCAGTCTCCTCTCAGAATTGTAGGCATGTATGCACACGTGCATGGCATGAATTTCAAGCTGCTGGGTCCAGGACTTGTACTGCTGTCAGCCATGTGGGAGTCCAGCTCCTTAACCACTACAGCACCTTCTGGCCCTTAGCCTTTTCTTTAAGAATTATTTATTTAACTTATTTATTATTTTTATTTTGAATTTACTATAGAGCACATGTACTCACCGGACAGTGACACAGAGAGAAAGTGAGAAAACAAGCTACCAGGTCTAGGACTCAAACCGTGACTGGCCATGTGGCAGTCCAGATTCCACCATGCCACCTTCTGGCCCCTAGCCTTATCTTTTTAATGTGCTTTTGTATACATATGTGTGTGGTGGCGGGGAGAGAAGTTCATGGGAAATATATATTAGGAAAGAACTATGCATAGAGTTCAAAATATTTTTGTACCAAAATAAAACTATACTTCAGATTTTTCTAAAAACTTCTTGAGGTACCATTGATTCAGGTTGTTTGCATTCATTCTGTATCTTTTGCCATCCCTAAAATAAAGATGTTAGATCTTATCGTGAACTTGTATGAAAATATGAAAAAAAATATGTAAAACCCCTAATACACAGTAGATGTTAATGTTCCCATTATGAGACACATCTATGGAGAAGGTGACTGATACTTCTAAAGCAGCAGTCCTCAACTTTTGTGGCACCAGGAACCAATTTCATGGTAGACAGTTTTTTCCACAGACAAGGGGTGAGGGATAGAGAGTGTAGGGGAGGGAGGGTGGGAAATGGTTTCAAGATGCTTCAAACACATTTATTGTGCACTTCTATTATTATTACATTGTAATATATAATAAGATAATTACACAACTCACCATAATGCAGGATCAGTGGGAGCACTGAGCTTATTTTCCTGCAACCAGACATTCCCATCTGGAGACTTCTATGAGAAGCTAATGCCATGGCTGATCTGACAGGAAGTGGTGAGCAGGCAATGATACACGTGATGGGGAGTGGCTATAAATACAGGTGAAGCTTTGCTCACTCGCCCGCCACTCACCTCCTGCTGTTTAGCCCAGTTCCAGGAGTTGGGGACTCCTGTTGTAAAGGATACAGATTTTCTTACCCATTTGCTAGACCTGAGTTACTACCTCTGATTTTGTAATGAATGTCCTTTATGACTAGTCCAGTGACTACAGAAAGCCTGTGAGAGGTACTTTCTTGATTGAATTCTAAATGATCATTTTTCTTTTTAAATTCACAATGATACTAATGTGCAGCTTTGAGATGTGTTGGTCTGGAAAAGTTGTTTTTCATATTTTGGTGCAGGAGTAAA